TCAAGCCCCACGACCGACAAACAAAAACAAACAAAAAACAGGGTCGGTGCCCACATCCAGCTCCTAGATTGAGTTCCAGGATTTCAGGGCTGGTTCTAAACACCTGGTCCGGAAAGTAGGCGGGGTTCCTGTCTCCGCCCCTTCCCCGCCTTGGGCCCTCCTGGTTTGCTGGGTCCTCAACCCAGGCGGCCCCCAGTTACTTGGCCGGGAGCCGGCCCCACCCTCCGCGAGCGGCGCCCCCCTCCCGGCTCCGCTTTGGCCCAGCTCCCGTCACCCCACGCGGCCCAAGGGAACAGCGCCCGAGACCCCGCCCCTGGATGCCCCGCCCCCAAGCCGAGGCCCCGCCCCCGAGCCCCTCTCACTACTGGCCGGCCAGCGCTAGGCCCACTCTCCGGGGACGCTTGGGGCGCGGAGGCCGAGGCCTCTGCCTGCTCCCGGGATGGAGGAGGCCCAGCGTTGTGGCAGCGGGGAGCAGAGTGCGAGCCCACCGCCTTCCTCGCGGGCCGGTGCAGTGGTAGCCGGTCCCAGGCCGGCCTGGGCTGGGGTCAGGCGTGGCGCCGCCGCCGGGTGCTAGCGGCCTGGTGCCCGCCAGGTGCGCTGCGCGGGGCGGCCCGGGCTCGTCGCCGCGGGTGGAGGGCGAATCAGGAGAGCAGGCAAACAACCCGGCGCCGGCGGCTCGTGTCCGGCTGGGGTGAGGACCCTGGAGGCCCGACCTCGAGGCGGCGCCTTTCCGGCGTTTCCCAGGTGGGAGCACGGCTCGGCTCTGCGCCGCCACCGTGTGGCCAGAGCGAGAGCAGCGCCCGCCTGGCACCCGGACACTTCCTGGAGCTGGACCCGAAGCGGGCGGGCGCGCGCGGGCCTCCAGTCGAGACCCCGCCCCCTCCCAAGGGCGGTCGGAGGTTGGCGCTGGGGTTGCCATGGCGACGGTGGAGCCCCGGCGGCGCTGGCCCCCGGCCTCTGTGCATCCCGCTGGACCGGGACACTCAGCATCGGTTTTAGTCGTCCTCAGGAATCTGTGAATGAGAATGAAACCTCTCAAAAGCAGCAAGGAATTCCACAGCCAGTGTAATGCTTTTCCTAGACGCCCAGCGTGTGTAAGACAACTTTGAAGGAGGCATACCAAGATGGACAATAACAAGTAGTGAAAGTCCTGCCATTCATGGTTCATGAAATAGGTAGCATTTGAAGCGACTGGCCTGTATGCTAGACACTCACTGGTTTTGTATACAAGGGTACTATTCCCATGTAATAGTTAAGGAAACAGATTCAGAGAGGTTAAAGAACTTGTTCAAAGTAACACAGCAAGTAGCTAAGAATTTTTATTTTTTGTACAGGAGCTTAAATCCACTGCCTTGTACAGGCTAGGCAAGCATTCCAACACTTGAATTACACCAGCAGCCCCTCAGGATTGATTTCAAAGTATAACCTTTAACCCCTATATGCTGATGTTCAAAGAGTTCAAAGGGAGTATTCAACTGGGACTTTGTGTGTGTATGTGTGTGCCAGTCCTGGGGCTTGAACTCAGGGGCTGGGGCACTGTCCTTGAGCTTCTTTTGCTCAAGTCTAGCACACTACCACTTGAGCCACAGTGCCATTTCTGGCTTTTTCTGTTTATATGGTACTGAGGAATCCAACCCAGGGCTTCATGCATGCTAGGCAAACACTCTACCATACCACTAAGCCACAATCCTAGGCCTCAACTGGGGCTTTCTGTGTTGTACCAATCCTGGGGGATGAGCTCAGGGCCTGGGCACTGTCTCTGAGTTACTGTACTCAAGGCTAGTGCTCTACCACTTGAGCAACAGCTCCATTTCTAGCTTTCAGTGGTTAATTTGGAGATGAGTCTCATGGATATACTTGCCCAGGCAGACTTCATACCTCCATTCTCATATCTCATCCTCCAGAGTATCTAGGTGTAAGCCACTAGCACCCAATATTTGTGGGGTCGTCATCTTCTTCTTCCTCCTCCTTTTTTTTTTTTTGTCAGTCATGGGCCTGAACTCTGGGCCTGGGCGCTGTCCCTCAGCTCTTCAGCTCAAGGCTAGCGCTCTACCACTCGAGCCACAGCGCCACTTCTGGCTTTTTTCTTTTTGCTGAGGAATCAAACCCAGGGCCTCATGCATGCAAGGCAAGCAGTCTACCACTGAGCCACCTTCCTAGCCCCCACTTTTTTTTTTTTTGGTTGGTTGTGAGGCTTGAACTCTGGGCCGGGTGCTGTCCTTCAGCTCTTTAACTCAAGGCTAGCACTCTACCAACTTGACCCACAGTGCCACTTGTGTTTTTTCTGTTTATGTCGTGCTTAGGAATCAAACCCAAGGCCTTGTGCATGTGAGGCAAGCACTCTACTATGAGCCATCTTCTCAGCCTCCTCCTCCTCTTCTTCTTCCTCCTCTTCCTCTTCCTCCTCTTATTCCTCCTTTCTTCCTTCTTCTTTCTTCCTCTTCTGTCTGGTCTCTATCTCTTGAGCCACATCTCCATTTTGACTTCTTTTTTTTTAAATCTCAGCTTCTTGAGGGCCGGGAAGGTGGCTCAGTGGTAGACTGTTTTACATGCATGAGGCCCTGGGTTTGATTCCTCAGTACCACATACACAGAAAAAGCCGGAAGTGGCACTGTGGCTCAAGTGGTAGAGCACTAGCCTTGGGCTGAAGAGCTGAGAGACAGCGCCCAGGGCCAGAGTTCAAGCCCCATGAACAACAACAACAAAAAAAACCCCAAACAGAACAACAACAACAACAAAAAACCCTCAGCTTCTTGAGTAGCTAGTATTGCAGAGTCAGTCACTGACCCCCAGGTAGGTAATACTGATATTTGAACTTAGGGCCTCAAGCATTCTAGGCAAACACTCTACCATTTGAGCCATGGTCCAACCCTTTGTATTTTAGTTCTTTCACATAGGATCCCAAGTTTTTACCTAGCATTGGCCTCAGACCCTGGTCCTCCTATCTCTGCCTCAGGAGGGAGTAGCTGGGATTATAGGCCTGAGCTACAGCACCCAGCTATTATATTTTTCTACTTGGAAGTTATTTTTTTCTTTAGAGTTATTGAGAAGTCCACAGGCATTCTAATTTGTGCTGATCTTCACAAGTTGCTTTTCTGCTTTGGAAGCTTCAGGATCTTATGTGTCCTCAGTGCTCTGACCTTCCATGCTGGTGTCTTGGGTTAGATTCAAATCACCCATCGCTCTGAACATTTGGAGTCACTTTTCAAAATAGTTCTGGCCGGGCGCTGGTGGCTCACGCTTGTAATCCTAGCTACTCAGGAGGCTGAGATCTGAGGATCGCGGTTCAAAGCCAGCCCGGGCAGGAGAGACCGTGAGACTCCTATCTCCAATAAACCACCAGAAAACCAGAAGTGGTGCTGTAGCTCAAGTGGTAGAGCACTTGCCTTGAGCTGAAGAGCTGAGGGACAGCGCCCAGGCCCAGAGTTCAAGCCCCACGACCGACCAAAAAAAAAAAAAAAAAAATCAAAATAGTTCTGTAAGTCCTTTAGTCCTGAGAAGTATTTATTTATTTATTTAGTCAGTCAGTCATGGGGCTTGAACTCTGGGCTTGGGCGCTGTCCCTCAGCTCTTCAGCTCAAGGCAAGTGCTCTACCACTTGAGCCACGGTGGCTCTTCTGGTTTTCTGGTGGTTTATTGGAGATAAGAGTCTCATGGGACTTTCCTGCTGTGGCTGCCTTGAACTAAGATCCTCAGCTCTCAGCCTTCTGAGTAGCTAGGATTACAGCAGGCCAGAGCCACCAGCGCCCAGCTGAGAATTTTAATTTTTTTTTTTTTTTTTTTGCCAGTCCTAGTGCTTGAACTCAGGGCCTGGGCACTGTAGCTGAGCTTCTTTTCCTCAAGGCTAGCACTCTACCACTTGAGTCACAGTGTCACTTCCGGCTTTTTCTGTGTATGTGGTACTCTGAATCCAGGGCTTTATGCATGCTAGGCAAGCACTCTACCACTAAGCCACATTCCCAGCCCAGAATTTTAATTTTTTTTTTGGGGGGGGGTCCGGTCATGGGGCCTGAACTCTGGGCCTGGGTGCTGTTCCTCAGCCCTTCAGCTCAAGGCTAGCACTCTACCACTTGAGCCACAGTGCCACTTCCGGCTGTTTTCTTTTTGCTTATGTGGTGCTGAGGAATCGAACCCAGGACCTCATGCATGCAAGGCAAGCGCCCTACCACTGAGCCACCTTCCCAGCCCCCAGAATTTTAATTTTTAATTGATACCTTTTCCCCCTCTTTTTCATACTTTATGTATTGTTTGTTTCTCTTGTGTGGGAGCTTCTGAGGTCTGAGCTAGGGTCTCACGCTCACTCGGCAGGTGTCTCAACCCTTGAACTAAAGCTCCATCACTTGTTTTCTTTTTTTTTTTATTGTTTGTTTTTGTTGGTCGTGGGGTTTGAACTCTGGGCCTGGGCACTGTCTGTGAGCTCTTCTTCAGCTCAAGTTGAGAGTTCTACCACTTGAGCCACAGTGCCACATCCTGTTTTCTGGGGGGTTTATTGGAGATAAGAGTCTCTTGGACTTTCTTGCCTGAACTGGCTTTGAACTGTGATCCTCAGCTCTCAGCCTCCTGAGTAGCTAGGATTACTGGCTTGAGTTACCTGCGCCCAGCTCTGTTTTATTTTGATTTTTAATTTGGTGCAAAAGGTTAGGGAGAGACTTCTGTTCATTAAGGACTAAGAAACAAAGCACCATAGAAATGCTCTGTCAGATAAGGCTGAGCTGCGTAACGAGGGTGTGGTGGAGCAGACACAAAAATACATAGCATTATGCGAGTGACCTCCCGCACTTCATTCTAACGGGCTAGCCATCCTTTCACATTAAAGCTGCCACAGAAAAGAAACAAAACACAGTTTATCAGCTCCCACAGGGCAAGCAGAGTAATAACTGTGTACACGCAGTGTTGGAAGCCCCAGCCCACACATACAATGGACTGAGCATGGTCCATGGTCGGTCCCTAGCTCCCTACCTCCCAGGCTTCTCTTGAGTCTCAGTGGTAAGCTTATTAGTCTAATGCAATTGACTAATAAGGACCTGCCAGTGGCCTACATTGGCTTCATTCACTAGAGCTTGCATTTCTACAGAACGCTTTAGGTTTGCATTTTCTCTGAAGACATCTCTAATCCTCCTGACAGCATACGTTCTGTAATCGTAGGTGTTGAAATGCTTGCTCTTTCCCAGCATCACTTGGTACAGATCTAACACTTGTATGTGGCTGGAAGCTACCATTTTGGATGAAAAGGGGAGAAGCAAAGCAAAGCAAAAAAAAAAAAAAGAAAGAAAATCTTCATGGAGCTTCCAAGTTTAATTCAATCCATATTTCAGCCTATGTGAAAACTGCCCACAAATTAGCACAGTGACTGGCCCCTGGTAGCTGGGGATGGCAGAGGGGTCTTGTACCAGTTCTCCTAGCCATTTTTGGGGGGAGGGAGAAGTAGTGTCTTACATTTCTGCTCAGGCTTGTCTCAGACTGCCATGTCCTCTTATAGCCTCCCTTCTAGCTGGGACTGTAGGCTTATTTGTTGTTAGAGATCTCCCTAAACACCAACTGCCCCCCAGTAGCCTTGAACCTTGATTCTCTTGATCTCCCCCTCCTGAGAAGCTGGGATTATAGGCTTGGACTATAGTGCCTGGCCTCTTTCTCTCTTTTTTCTTTTTGGTCAGTCGTGGGGCCAGGCTTGAACTCTGGGCTTGGGGTGCTGTCCCTCAGCTCTTCAGTTGAAGGCTAGCGCTCTACCACTTGAGCCATAGCACCACTTCCGGCTTTTTTGTGCTTATGTGGTGCTGAGGAATCGAACCCAGGGCCTCATGCATGCAAGGCAAGCACTCTACCACTGAGCCACCTTCCCAGCCCGTCTGGCTCTTTCTCTATTTCTATTATTCAAATGTTGAGTGTCTTGGACCAAACTCCTAATTTTTCCCTCCTCTGTCTATTTGTTACACTTTCTGGAAGATTGGCCTCAAATTTCTCTTTCAACCCTTCCTGTGAAATTTTAAATTCCAAAGACTTGTAGTTATTGTTGATGCTTGTTTCTTTTAAATAACCTGCTCTTCTTACAAGATAGGCACAAGGCCTGGAAGGTGGCTCAGCGGTAGAGCGCTTGCCTTGCATGCTCAAGGCCCTGGGTTCGATTCCTCAGCACCACATAAGCAAAAAGAAAAAAAAAAGCCGGAAGTGGCGCTGTGGCTCAAGTGGTAGAGCGCTAGCCTTGAGCTGAAGAGCTGGGGGACAGCGCCCAGGCCCAGAGTTCAGGCCTCACGACCGGACCAAAAAAAAAAAAAAGCCAAGACAGGCACAATGTCTTCTCTAATCTCTCTGGAGATGTTAACAGGAGGTCCTTCTTCTTGCCCTGGCCAGTCTGCTTTGAGGAAACATTCCCTGGCCTTGTACTTAGGGGCAAAGCCATGGCTGCTGGCTTCCCGGGAGACAAGTTGGAAGCCGTCGGGGGCGACTCTGCTTTCGCGGGGCTTACGCTCACATCCTTGCCTGATTTAGAAGGAGACCCCAGTCCTCACAGTGCCTATGCCTCTGCGCTAGAGATCCTGTCCAATCCTCTCCAGAGAATAAACCTCCGGTCCTCTGCTGCGATTGGAGATGACCCAGATTCCAACAGCTTGGTCTTCTGACAGCTTCCAGTCCTTATTTCATGGCCTGCACCTCATTTTAGGAGGTAAAGGAGCCTTTGAGGGAATCTATGATCTAGATTGGGCTCATTACCCTCGCCCTAGCTGATGGTATGATTTTCTTACGTTTGCAGCATAGTTAGCATTAGCCGTTTGTGTCCCTGCTTCTGAGTGCTGGGCTGACAGAAGCTCTTCACTGTAGTTTTAGTGAGTTTGGGGAGGGAAGAAGGTGAATGTGGCTGTTCAGTCTGTCATGTTTTTCAGAACTGCCATTCCTGCCTAAATCAGTACCCAGATTAATAATTATAGATTGTGAGGGCCACGGGGAACAAATAAGGCCAAGACAAGAACAACAAGCAGGACAACTTGGAGAATGCAGATTTGTATCTTTTTTTTTTCCTTTCTTCTTTTTCTGAAGCTTGAACTCAAGGGCCTGGGCGCGGTCCCAGAGCTTTTGTGCTCATGGCTATGGCTCCACCACTCGAGTCACAGCTCCACTTCCTGCTGCTTAGTAGTTCAGTGGAGAGTCGCAAAACTTTCTGCCCCAGCCGACTGTGAACTGTGTGATCTTCAGATCTCAGCTTTATGAGTTGCTAGCATTATAGACACGAACCCTCTAAATCCTTGACACCTGGCAAAATCTGTATCTTTAAAGTACACCTGTCACTGCTGGGTAGAGAAAAGATTGTTCAAGTATGGAGTCTGAGGAGGCTCCTACTTAGGTGAAAGTAAACAATGAAGCCAGGCACTGGTGGCTCACGCCTGTAATCCTAGCTACTCAGAGGCTGAGAGCTGAGGGTCCCAGTTCAATACCAGCTGAGGTGGGAAGTCTGTGAGACTCTCATCTCCAATTCAGCACACAAAGCTAGAAGTGAAGCCAGGCACCAATGGCTCACACTTGTAATCCTAGCTACTCAGGAGGCTGAGATCTGAGGATCAAGGTTCAAAGTCAGCCTGGGCAAGAAGATCCATGAGACTCTTATCTCCAATTAACCACCAGAAATGTCATTGTGGGTCAAGTGGTAGAGCGCTAGCCTTGAGCTGAAGAGCTCAGGGACAGCGCCCAGGCCTAGAGTTCAAACCCCACAACTACTGGGGAAAATAAAAAAAAAGCTTAGTGACAGCACTCAGGCCCTAAGTCAGGGCCGGGATGGTGCATGCGCACACACACACACACACACATACACACACACTCGAAAGAAAAGGAAAAAAAAATTTAAGCTGGGCACAGGTGGCTCATACCTGTAATAGCTATTCAGGAGGCTGAGGTCTGAGGCTTGTGATTCCAAACCAGCCTAGGCTGGAAAGACCATGAAACTTTTTTTTTTTTGCCAGTCCTAGGGCTTGAACTCAGGGCCTGGGCACTGTCCCTGAACTTCTTTTGCTCAAGGCTAGCACTCTACCACTTGAGTCACAAGCCACTTCTGGCTTTTTCTGTTTATGTGATACCGAGAATTTGAACCCAGGGGTTCATGCAAGCACTCTGCCACAAGCCATATTCCCAGCCCAAAACTTACCTTCTATTAACCCTAAAAGGAAAAAAAAAGCCAGAAATGGAGCTGTGATTCAAGTGATAGCTTGCTAGACTTAAGAGGAGAAGCCAAGGGATAGTGCCCAGGCTGGCACTAAATAAATAGATAATAAATAAACGAAATTAACCATCAGAAGTCCACTCCTTGTCAAGTTTATACCCAAATGTATCTCCTTAAACTATAAAAGCCTACCCCTGGCCCTGAAAACATTCCTGGCTATTTCATAATGCAAGAGGCATTCAGTCAGTTTCTGTGAGCTCCCATAGTCTAACAGTTCCAACATTGTTCCAAAATCCCAGTTCTAAGTCTCCTCTGAAACTTAAGGCAACTTTTAGCTACCAGCCCCTATAAAAATGAAAATACATGGGCTGGGAAGTTGGCTCAGTGGTAGAGCTCTTGCCTTGCATGCCTGAGGCCCTGGGTTCGATTCCTCAGCACCACATAAGCAAAAAGAAAAAAGCCGGAAGTGGCACTGTGGCTCAAGTGGTAGAGTGCTAGCCTTGAGTGGAAGAGCCGAGGGACAGCACTCAGGCCCAGAGTTCAGGCCCCATGACTGTACCCCAAAAAAGAAAAAAATTTAAAAAATCAAAATACAATGTATGTACTTTTTAATGTATGTACTTTTTTTTTTGTCAGTTGTGGGGCTTGAAATCTGGGCCTGGGCACTGTCCCTCAGCTCTTCAGCTCAAGGCTAGTGCTCTACCACTTGAGCCACAGTACCACTTCTGATTTTCTGGTGGTTTATTGGAGATAGAGTTTCACAGCCTTTCCTGCTTGGGCTGGCTTTAAAACACGATTGTCAGATCTCAGCCTCCTGAGTAGCTAGGATTACAGGCATGAGCCACTGGCGCCTGGCTCAATGTATGTACTTTAAATACCTAATGCTACAGTCTAAACATTCCCCTCAAAAAGGGAGGAATAGCTGAGTGTCAGTGGCTCATGACTATAATCCTAAATACTTAGAAGGCTGAGATCTGAGGATCAAGATTCCAAACCAGCCGGAGCAGGAATGTCCATGAAACTCTTATCCCCAATTAACCACCAGAAAACCAGAAGTAGCGCTGTGGCTGATGTGGTAGAACCTTGAGCTGTAAGAGCTCAGAGACGGGCTCAGGCCTAGAAGTCAAGCCCACAACCAACCAAAAAAAGAAAAAGAATATAGGGGAACAGCAAGAAAAGATTATATCAAAGCAAAACTGAAATCTTGGGCTGGGAAGATGGTTCAGTGGTAGGGTGCTTGCCTCCCATGCATGAAGCTATTATAGGTATGAGCCACCTGTGCCCAGCTTAAAATGTTTTTTCTTTCCTTTTCTGTGTGTGTGTGTGTGTGTGTGTATGTGTGTGTGTGTGTGTGTGTGTGTGTGTGTGTGTGTGTGTGTGTGTGTGCATGCGCCATCCCTGGTGCTTTGACTTCGGGTCTGAGTGCTGTTCCTGAGCTTTTTTTGTTTTTTTTTTCCCCCAGTAGTTGTGGGGTTTGAACTCTGGGCTTTGACTCAAGGCTAGAGCTCTACCACTTGACCCACAATGCCATTTCTGGTTTTCTGATGGTTAATTGGAGATAAGAGTCTCATGGATCTTCTTGCCCAGGCTGACTTTGAACCTTGATCCTCAGATCTCAGCCTCCTGAGTAGCTAGGATTACAAGTGTGAGCCACTTGTGCCAGCCTAGCTTTGTGTGCTTGATTGGAGATGAGAGTCTCACAGACTTCCTGCCTCAGCTGATGTTGAACTGGGACCCTCAGCTCTCAGCCTCTTGAGTAGCTAGGATTATGGGGAGCCACAGGCAACCAGCTCAAAGGTCCTTTGAAACATTTTTTTTCCCCTTTGGTTTTACATGAGTCTAAAAATTATAGAAAGTTACATGTTAGAGCTGGCTAAGATAAAACTTCCAAATGACCCTGAACAGAAAAACTGTCTTTGTGCAACCAAGAAGAAAGCAGAAATGAGAGAAAATGACAAAGCGTCCAAAATGTTATTATCCCAGTAGTTGTGGCTGAGGATACAAAAGGCAAATTGATGGGTAATTATCTGGTGTTTCTAGACAAGAGAAAGAGAAGCAAATCTCCACTGTTGC